GCAATGCCGCTGGCACTCTATCTACAAGAAATCTCTTTTTAAAAAAAACACAATAATACTTCTGAAACAATGTGAACTCATACATTTTTCCTAGAATAAGAGAATCCAGATTCAAACTGCCAGTTTTTTACTGCCAACAGTGGTGTTCTCCAGTCCTTTATTGTCATTGCACAACATCTTGACACATAAAAGTAAATACTGCATCCGGAAATGCATGCCAAATGCAAGCCTGCCTCAGATGGCTTAAAGATGTGTCTTTTTTTGTTTGTTTGTTTTATTCATAAGATCATGGTGAACTTACATTACCCAGAAACCAGCTGTAGATCGTATGTGTGAGGGTTTTTTTTTTTCCTTCACCATGCTGTCACTTAAGCTGGTAGACATTATGATCTTTCCACCATTCTAGCCACCAATTTGTAGCCTTAAAATAAAGCATAACATACACCAAGTTCTGTTTTCTCTAATAACTCACATATCCTGCCATCCATATTTTACAACTCCAGCCCTTAAAAAAGCCAGAAAATGTCGACACCGAGAACTTTTTCATAGTATAGTGAAAACAAAAAAAATATTGGGGCATCTTGAAGATGAACAAGTTTTATTTGGCATAGGTTACTGTGTTTTGCAGCTCAGGTATATTTAATGGCTAAAGTATAGCTATTTTGCACCTTCACAAAATCACTTTGGAGAATTATATTACTAAATTCAGGTGTTGCCACTTATTTCATTGCATGAGCTTACGCTAGTCCATGCTCTAAAGCCTATGACATTATGTACATGTATTGGATATAAACGAAGGCACACATGAACATGGACAGAAACGAAAGAAAGCCTATAAAATTCATAGGAGTCACCATAATTTGAAAAGAACCATGAAAGCACATGCACATGAAATCAGTAAGTGAGTATATAATTAAAGTGCACGATTCTTAAAATATATCTTCTTCAAATATATTATCTTCTGCTGACATTTGAACCAGCTGATTGGTTCCATATTTACATGTACATTCACTAGCTGGAGTTCCCCTAGATATTTCCTCACATGCAAGTTAAAGGTAGAAGAAAGAAAGAAAGAAAGGAAGGAAGGAAGGAAGGAAGGAAGGAAAGAAGGAAAGAAGAACACCTCCTGTAAATATGTCACCAGAGGCGGCCCTAGGTAATTTTCAATGGTAAGCAAACAGTATCCCCCACAACCAATCACTGATATATATTTTCTGTTCATCGTGGGAGTTCTGTGTGCCATATTTGGTTCAATTCCATCATTGGTGGAGTTCAGAATGCTCTTTGATTGTAGGTGAACTATACATCCCAGTAACTACAACTCGCATATGTCAAGGTCTATTTTCCCCCAAGAGCGCCTCAAGAGCACCCCTGGGCAAAATCAACTATACTGCAAATGCTTACTTTGTGTAATGGGTTGAGCTGCCCCTGTATGTCACACCTCCTTTTGCAGAATAGGAACTAAGCTTTCTTGACATAAACTTAATTTGCTGGAATACTGGTAGTTCAACTGACTAGACAGCAGAAATTCAGGTTTCAAGTGTAGTATTTTGTGAATCTATTCATATTCTATGAATATATTAATTATTCACATTATTCTGGAACATATTTACATCTGTGGACAGGCATCGGAACACAAAATATAACTTAAATACCTATATAAATAGTCACATATAAAGACTTACCTTTATTCAACAGGGTTTATGTACAATTCAGGTTTCCATTACTGTGAATGAGCAGAATAAAGATGTGCTTTGTAATAAACAGAATTCAGAGATTTCATATGGTTCAGTTATAAAATGTAGCAAAATCACCCAACTCTAACTTTTTAGTGCAAGATTATTTACATGGATCTATATAGGCAAATCATGGTCATTAAAAAAAATTAATCTTTTTTAAAGCTTCTCAAAATCAAACTTCTCAATGGAATATTACAATGACTGTGATCAGTGCTTTACATGTCTTATGTACCATAGTGCAGTTAAGTTCTACTACTGACATCCAAAGGATTGAAAAAAATTGTACTGTGTTTGATAGCTACAGTGTCAACACCATTCATACCCATGCAGCCTAATCTTAGTCATGTTTACTCAGAATTAAGGCTCACTGATTTAAATCTTATGGTTTTTTTCCAGGTGAACACGCTGCTTTCATGACGCAGCAGCCTCAAAGTCTTCCACTTAAAACCCCAGTGGTACAACTTTGGGAAACATGCATGTAACGACAATCTTCAGGGAAGTAATGCAGCCAATTTGTAATGAGGAAGGGTTCAGCTCCTTTCCTCACCTTCAAATACACTTTCCCTCCCTCATGAATGAAGCAGACATTTGAGCCAGCAACATGATTCCTATATTCCTATCATATAATAATAATAATAATAATAATAATAATAATAATAATACATTTTATTGGCTATCCACCTCTCCTAGTGGCTCAAAGTGGGGTACAACCAAGTCAAAACATATCGCATAAAATGCATACAATACATATATAAAAACACACCATTTAAAAAAAACATACACATAATAGAATGCAATATAATCCAAATCCAAAACTCACGATTAACAAAATTTCCAGGAAAAATGAAATGCAAAAATACAGAATGGATGACACCTGGCTTGACAACAGTCATGTGAAAAAGATCTTGGAGTCTTTGTGGAAAACAAGTTGAACATGAGCCAACAGTGAGATGCAGATGCTTAAAATGGGATTTTGAGTGCATCAAAAGGAGTATAGTGTCAAGGGAAGTCATGGTGCCTCCATATTTTGCTTTCGTTAGACCTCACCTGGAATACTGTGCCCATTCTGGGCACCACAATTCAAGAAGGATATTGATAAGCTGGAAGGTGTTCGGAGGAGGGCAACTAAAATGATCAAAGGTCTGGAGACAATAAATCCCTATGAGGAGCGGCTTAAAGAACAGTGCCTATTTAGCCTGCAGAAGAGAAGATTGAGAGGAGACATGATAGCCATGTATACATATGTGAAAGGATGTCATAAGGAATGGGGAGCAGGCTTGTTTTTTGCTGCCCTGGAAACTTGGACTCTGAGCAATGGGTTCAAGTGACAGGAAAGGATATTCCACTTGACCATTAGAAAGAACTTCCTGACAGTATGAGCTGTTCAACAGTGAACTCTGGCTTAGAGTGTAGTGGAGGGTCCTTCCTTGGAAGCTTTTAAACAGAAGCTGAATGGTCATCTGTCAGAGGTACTTTGATTGTGCTTTTGCTGCATGGCAGGGGGTTGGACTAGATGGCCCATGTGGTCTCTTTCAACTCTATTATGCTATCATTCTATTATAATTCAAATAACTGTAAATTCACAGATAATTCCAGGCACTGATAGGAATTTCCTTTGCTGGTTAAGCATGTCCATGTTTGCAAGACTTCCCAACTCTGTTTTGCAGAAGTCCCTACTTGTACTGGCCCCTGCATCCCAAAACAAGGTTTGTAAATCATTAAGTACCCTTCCTCCATGCAGAATACACAAAATACGGAAAAAGGCTTGAGATGATGAACTGCATCTATACCTTGAATTAATATCTTAAGTGTTTGTAGGCACAGTGCTTGTGTACTTTGCAAATGTAGAAGTAATTAACTGTGCATTTGCACAGAGACAAAGCCTGTCTTGCAAGATTGCGAACTCTGGGAATTGTTCAATTCCTCCAGAAAAAAAAACCTACAAAGGGCAGAAGCAGCATAGTCAGAGAGAGGCAATGTATGGTTTGGGAGGAGTTATGTCTGAGCTGATGTGCTTTAACTGACATGCTTTCAGTTTACTGAAAGTGCTTACAAAAAGGATTGGTGTGATAAGAATGGCTATCCTGGCAGGTTCCAACCCAATGGCTGAAGAGAAAGTCAGGAGAAGAGRCGACTTTTGGTGCGCACGCTGGGGTCTTCAGACAGGCCTCTGGACCCRAAGYGGGCCAGGCGGCTCCGCCCCTTGGCCCACCCGTGGATTGGGGAGAGGAGAGGAGGCGSGTGGAGCGCCGGGGATCGGGAAAGGGAGCCGGTCATGGGGAAGGGATCKAACGCGGAGAACGATTGAACGCTGGCTCTGCTTGCGCACCCGGTGGCTGGGTGGAGCAGGAACAAGAGGGGCTAGGCGAGGCTCAAGGGCCCGGCCCCTTTRGGAAGAGGATCGCCCGGCAGCAAGGCAAGAAAGCCGAGGCTCCCCTCGGACTGCTAGGGCTGTTGTGAGCTGAGGGGGTGCTCCTCAAGTGGTGGTCGAGGGGCATTTRCAGAGGTGCCTCTGCGCCCCTGGCAAAAAAAAGTGTTCTGCGACCGCTTACTTCRCGTAATGGACGAGCCGCCCCTGGGTGTAGGTTACAGACATCCTATGATTATTCTGAACGTTTCATTCAATGCTATGTTCACCTGCTTTGCATGTTTTTTATTTGTTTGTTTTGGTACTGATGTTGGAGAGTGGTCCCTGGTCAAAAAAAAAGGTTGGTCAGCCATGCTTCCCGCTCTCAATGTGATGAGGTGGTAATAAGTTAGCCAAAGGGAATCAAAGCCTGGCGCGCGGGGGGCGGGAAGAGGTCGTGTGTGGGAGAAGAGCCGCGGTGACGAGATGAGAAGAAAACCCTGGGAGGCGGCGGCGAAGGGGGGGGGGGAGGAGGTGAAGAGCGCGAGTATATAAAGCCGGGGACAGGCGCGAGGAAGACGAGAGGAGGCGCTGAAGGGAAAGCAGTGCGCGCTCTTCTTCCTCGACTTCCTCAGGACCTGTTGCTTGGGAGCGCATTGAAGAAGGGCTTTGGGACCAAGCCTGAGGGGCTTTGGGTCTCTTTTTTTTTTACACTGGAGCCTATGGGCAACGACAGTCCGCTCATGGGCTGAAGGAGGGCCTGGGAGCCGCTTGTGGCGCGCGCGCCCCGCTCAAAAAAAAGAGGATTTGAGAAGAAGGAGCAGAGCGCGCGCGAGGCGGCAGGCAGGCAGGCACGCGCCCTGCAATTCTTCCCTGGAAGCGAGGAGGAAGAGGCGCGCGCCCTGTGTTGTTTTTTTTTTTTCCCGGGAGAAAAGGGCGCGCGCCCTGTGCTCTATCCCCCTTCCCTGGATGAGGCACGAGACTCCACTCCCCGAGGGGGCGTCCCTTCTGACCCTATGAGGGCGCCCCGGCCTTGCCAAGGACGCCGCATCCGCAGCTCGCCCCTCCGCCCGCGGCCACGGCCCTGCTGCTGCCGTCGGGCGGGCGCCCCCGTTGCCCTCTCTCCTCCTCCTCCTCCTCGGAAGCCCCCTCCCCGCCTCCCGAAGTGGCTCCTCCGGCCTGCAACAGCAGCAGAGGCGGAGGGGAGGCTGGCTGCAGCGGCTCCCCCTCCTCCTCCTCTTCTTCCTCTTCTTCGGACGGGCCGCTCGATCCAGCTCCTGCTCGGCTAGACGTTGCGGCCGAGGTGGCTCCTCCTCCGCCTCTCCTTCCCGTCCCAGTTGCTGCCTCCCCTCCGCCTCCTCCTCCGCGGAGCCCTAAAGCCGCCCGCTGCCGGAGGATGGTGCGCCTAGCGGCCGAGCTGCTGCTCCTCCTGGGGCTCCTCCTGCTCACGCTCCACATCACCGTCCTCCGCAGCAGCGCCACAGAGGAGGACGACAAGGAGGCGGCGGCGGGGAATCACACCCAGCGCCTCCTGCAGCAGCAGCAGCAGGTGAGGATTGATTGACACGCGCAGGGAGGGAGGGAGGGGGGCACCAAGATCCGCCTCAAAGTGTGTGTGTTGCGAAGGGGCGGGGCCTGTTGTGGTGTCAGCCCCTGTGGGCCTCCCTCCGAGGCTGAGAGAGCGCGCCTTGCCCAAAGTCAGCCAGAGCCCTTCCACACAGCCATAGAACCCAAAATATGGAGGCAGAAAATCCCACAATATCTGCTTGGAACTGGGTTATCTGAGAACTCTTCCACGCAGCCATAGAACCCAGAATATCAATGCAGAAAATCCCACAATATCTGCTTTGAGCTGAGTCCACACTACCATATAATCCTGTTCAATGTGGTTCGCAGTTTGTGAGTCCGGTAATAGTGTGAAAGCTAGGTCCGGAAGCTCTGAGCATTACGCTGTTTCCGTTTTGCTCCTTCAGGATTTTATAGTATATGAAATCCTGATATTATAGAAGGAATGTAAGAGTTCTTTAATGGTAAAACCCTAATCGAAACCCTAGCCCTTATCCTAAGACTAACCCTTAACCCCAATCCTAACCCAAACCCTAAACCTTACCCTAACCCTTACCCTACCCCAAACCCTAACCCTAACTCTTCCATCATTTCTATCCTTCTACCAAATGCAACTATGAAGCATATTCCCGCCCTCAGTGTGCCACTCTCCTCTTCCCTTATTCACAACCGCCGTTGTGGAATGTGCGTAACACTCAGAGCTTCTGGATCCAGCCATCATACTATCATCAGGAGTCCTCCTGGACTCATCGCTGAGCCTGGAACCCCCGATGTCAGCGGTGTTCACACAACTTGTGCGCCAACTGCACCCGTACCTTGGGAAGTCTGACTTGACCATGGTAGTCCACACTCTTGTTATATCCTGTCTAGACTACTGCAACACGCTCTATGTGGGGTTGCCTTCAAAGACTGTTTGGAAGCTGCAAATAGTCCAATGCACTGCAGGCATGTTGTTAACTGGGGCGTTGCACAGAGAGCATAGAACCCCCACCCCACCCCCAGTACAGCAACTCCATTGCCTCCCTATTTGCTACCGAGCACGTTTCGAAGTGCTAGCGCTAGCTTTAGCCTATAAAGCCCTAAACGGGCTCCGGTCCAGCTTACCTATTTGAATGTATCTCCCTCTATGAACCAGTTCATAGATTAAGATCTTCCAGGGAAGTTCTGCTCTTGGACCCACCAGCCTCACAGGTATGGCTGGTGGGGATGAGGGACAGGGCCTTCTCAGTGGTGGCCCCATGTCTGTGGAACTCCCTCCTGAGTGAGATCAGATCAGCCCCCTCCCTCCTGACCTGGAGACAGCTAAAGACTTGGCTGTAAAACCAAGCATTCGGCCCATCATAGGAATATTTGAAGTTAAAGAGAAAGTTGAAAGTGCAATGACCCAGGACAGTTTACAACAACGGCTATGTCTCTGTGTGGTAGGTGATGTTATTTTATGTGATGTGTTTAATAATGTTTAATGTTTTATTAGGGGAGAGTCAGTGTTTTATACTGTTTTTATCGATGGCATTGAATTGTTGCCAACACTGTGAACTGCCCTGAGTCCTCTTTGGGGTTGAAAAAGGCGGTATACAAATATCGCAAATAAATAAATAGACAGCTGTATGGAAATAGAGGACCAAAGTTTGCCCACAGAGAGAGGTGAATATCTTTATTGTTTATTATTAGTAAAGGTAAAGGTTTCCCCTGACATTAAGTCTATTCGTGTTCAACTCTGGGGGGCGAGGGGGGGGTGCTTATCTCCATTTCTAAGCCAAAGAGCCTGCCTTGTCTGTAGACACCTCCATGGTCATGTGGCCAGCATGACTATGGAGTGAAGTTACCATCCCGCAGAAGTGGTACCTATTGATCTACCCACATTTGCATGTTTTTGAACAGCTAGGTTGGCAGAAGCTGGGCCTAACAGCTGGAGCTCACGGAGCTCTCCGGATTCAAACCACCAACCTTTCGGTCAGCAGGTTTAGCAGCTCAGCGGTTTAACCTGCTGTGCCACCAGGCCCCCCAAATATTAGTGCACAATTTAAAATATACAAATATGCAAACATTAAAACAGAATTAAACACACACAGCACTAGAAAAAAATCGCAATCAAAATGCATCAAAACCAGAAAAAACATGTCACCTTCTGACTAGATCTTCAAAACTTTCATATTTAAAAGGCTGCCTAAATAAAAGGTTTCAGCCTGCTGCCAGAAGGACAGCAGGGAGGGGACCATTCTGGCTTCCCTGGGAAGAAAGAGTTCCAGAGTCAAGGGGCAACCACCGAGAAGGAAGACCCGCTCTCTCGTTCCCACCAACTGAGCTTGAGATGAAGGTGGGGCTGAGAGAAGGGCCTCTCCTGAAGATCTCAGGACCCCAGGAAGATTTGTATAAGGGTATGCAGTCAGACAAATAGCCTAGACTGGAACCGTCTAGGACTTTAAATGTCATAACCAGAACTTTGAATTGTGCCCAGTAACAAACTGGCAGCCGGTGGAGCTGCTGCAACAGCGGGGTTGTCTACTCCCTGTAGCCAGCCCCAGTGAGCAACCTGGCTGCAACTCTTTGGACCAGCTGAAGCTTCCAAGCACTCTTCAGAGGCAGCCCCACATAGAGCACATTACAGTAATTCAGACAGGATGTAACTAAGGCATGGAACACTGTGGCCAGATCTGGCTTCTCAAGGAATGGGCACTACTGGTGCACAAGTTTTGAATGTGCAAACACTCTCATGGCTACTGCATGTACGTGCCTGGGCTTCCAGGTTCAAATGCTGAGTTCAGGAGGACCCCAAACTGCAAGCCTCTGTCTTCAGGGGGAGTGTGATCTGATCCAGCATAAGCCAAATCCCTATTCCCTGGTCTGCCTTCCGACTGACCAGGAGCACTTCTGACATGTCTGGATAAAGTTTCAGTTCGTTTGCCCTCATCCAGTCCATTACTGATTATAAGCACTGGTTTAGGGTCAGGGCAGCTTGCTTGGCATTAGGTGGAAAGCAGTAATAAAGCTGGGCGTCATATGCATATAGGTGGCACCGTACTCCAAAACTCCGGATGATCTTTCCCAGTGGTTTCATGTATATGTTAAACAGCATGTGAGACAGAATGGAACCCTGAGGAACCATCCACAGGTCAATGTCCAGGAGTCCCCCAGCACCACCTTCCTAATGTCATTTCCTAATTGGTTCTATCATAAAAAACATGGGGACAGTTTATTAACCTGCCAAAACTTTGTTGTTGTGGGACATCCCACAACACATTTTGCTGTAGTTTTCCATCGAGTCTTAACCAATTCAACATAGTTTGCGGCAGCCACAAAAATGAAGTTTCTGGAGTATAACAACTACTTTCAAAGTAAGGACTACACAATAAAACAGGAAATAACACTTTCAAAGCAGGAACAGATTTTCTTTTCAATTTTTGTTACAATTTTTGGTTTTTAGCATTAGTTACATAGTGCTCCAGAAAAGATTGTCTGTTGGTAGGATCTCAGTTATTAGAAATCTGAAATCCAAATACAGTAGACCACGCACCCTCAAACTATTTAGATGTGGGTTCCACCTCCAAGATACCTCATTATGTATGCATTTTGGATAAAGGATATTCGCTGTTTCTGTTTTGTATCAAGGATACTCCCTATTAGTAGGTTGTAGCATTTTTTTTGTCTTCCACAAAAGGATTTGGCCAGCTGCCTTGCATCATATTGGACTAATGACCCTGCACTGTGAACACTGGTTGACTGCTAGTGCCCCCCCCAAAAAAAAACTCCAAAATATAGAACACCTCTGGTCCCAAGCATTTCAGATAAGGGATACTCAACCTGTATGTACTTATATGCCACTCTATGATGCCATCTAATAATTTGATGATATATAAGCCAGTCCCTGCAGAGCAGGCTTGGGCAGATTTCATCCCCCCAGCTGTTTGGGTTTCCAACTACCAGAATTCCTGGTCATTGGACAAGTTGGCTAGGGCTACCGAGTTGGAGGCCAAAACAGCTGGAGGGCCGCAGGTAGGTCAGGCCTGCTACTTAGAGCAACCTTTCTCTACATATTTTATTCTGAAGAAACCCTTGAATTATTTCTCTAAATGAAAACTATTATATCCTAAAAAGTATTTTCCCACCACGGTCTGTAGCAGAATCCAGAGCTTTGGAGTTAAATTGAATCCTACCATAGAGTTTTAAACAGATTGGAAATGGAAATATACACTATGTAAAACATATGTTCTGCCACTAAGCTGCAGAGTTTTCTCCTCCCCAACCCCCCACCCCTCTATTCTTCTTCTAAAACAAGAAAAGGACCCATTTTGGTAACTCCTGGTGTGGGAGATGGAATGATTGGGGAGCGAAGGTGCACAAACTCCTCCCTATAGAACACATGTATGTTTGAGAGCAGAAGGAGGAATTCCAGACCAGACAAAATGAGAGGGAAGGAAGAGGTTTTCTTTTGCTCCTATCAATTGAGACAAAAAATCTACACTAGAGTCTGCAAAACCACAAGCCACCTTTTTGGGTTGGGACTCTGGACATGCAAGAAATTGATATCCTGCCATGTAAGCTAGTGCTGCACTTTAAAACCTCAGATCTTGTGTAAGGCCTTGATTCTTCGACATATGTAAAAATTGTTGTATACCTGAAACAATGGCATTTATGCTATAGCTGTGCAACACATGAGTGCAGAAAGTGGAGACGTGAGCCATTTGTGGCTACCAGGCCCCATTTGCAGCCACCAAATACCTCTAAAATGAGCAAAAAAATAACTCCAGGTATTCACAAACTGGTATCCATTACTCCTAGTAGTTGTGGTTTCAGTTGTTTCCAACTTCTGGTCACTTCCAAGTGTGATTTCAGGGCAAAATGTGTGCCATTCCATCTATTGTAGTGTAGCTTTTGTTCAGTAAGGCCCTTTCCATACAGCTGAATTAAATCCCACCTTATCTGCCTTGAACTGGAATATATGGCAATGTGGACTCAGATAACCCAGTTCAAGGTTATTCTGCC